ATGCAGTCTTTGAAGGGATGTTGGAGCTGAAAAGGGTTGAGAATAGAAAGACAGGCGTGTCGGGTCCTTGTCTTTCAGATTTAACCACAAGTTGAAGTGAGAAATCTCTTCATTGCACGTGAGTCTTACAAACTACTGGACCAGACTATGGCAGAAGCCTCAAGCAAAGCCCAAATCCATCAAACCCAACCCAGCTCATATTAACAAAATGAAGAATAACGTGTCCTTAACAACTGAAAAACCTGGATAGATGCTAAATCAGATGGAATGACAGTACAACAGGCATAAGCCAGGCAAACCGAGACATGTGGCATATGGTCACCCTCCTCAGGGGGCCTGTTTGCACTTCCAGCTCTAACTCAAGAAGGACATTTTTTTTTTTTTAACTTGGTTCTCCTAACTCACTAATTTGGTGCAGGAGATATGTTAATGAAGTTGATATTGCCAGCTTTTATCTTTAAAATTAGTGATGAATCTGTCAAACCCAATGAATTGACCTCTCGTTTTGTTTTATTTTGTTAGTGTTATTTTGTTTTTAGATGGAAAGGACTTAATGAATTGTTTTCAGGGAAATATAAATTAACATCCAATGGTTTTGATCTAAAATATGAAAGCAATCAACTTGTTATCCCCTGAGTAACAATGTAAGTGATGCATTTAAAAAGAAAATAGGATGGAGCTTAGTGAAGAGAAAACTCATGTTTCAAGGTGGGAGACTTGAGCTCTCATGCACTTATCCTGTCTTGCACTGAGGATTTAATGGACAACATTAGTGTGGACAGCTTTTCAAAGCCCCAAGAGATTGCTGAATTAATGTATGTGGCCCAGGGTTTGTGACATAAAAATTCAGACTTGAATAGGGCATCCATTAAGAACACAATTAAGGGGAATTGTGCTATGTAGCATCTGGTGGAGTGTTGTGTTAAAAAATGTTAGGTTTGTATTTAATTACTTTCCCTCTGTCACTCACTACTATCCTTTAACATTGCTAAACCACAGTTTTCTTATCTGTAAAATGGCCCAGCTAATCTCCTTGGGGAGAGAACGTGAGATTAAATGACACAACATCACATAATTGGTCCATAAAAAATAGTTGTTGAATTTTGACTATTGAAAACTAATTAGATAAAAACAAAGAATGAGAGCAAGACAACATAAACACATCATGATGAAAATGTTGTTAGCAGCATACATGAGTATCTAATATAATTTAAGAGAATAATCATTACTTCTATTTTCATTTCCATACTTGAAAGTATCCCAATCATTTATTATGCTTAACTTGAGGATATAAAGTTAGTTAAACAGCACAACTTTACGGGTAGAATTTCACCAATGAAATCTCACTGTACTGTGAATGGTTTGGGAAACTTCGTGTCTGAATGTTTGTTTTTTTAATTTATGGGCTAAAACTACAGTTACTATAAATTGACCTTAGTACATCCTGTAGGGTTAAACCAAACCTAGAGCAAAAATTAGTTGATAAAGATGAAGCTGGACTAACAATTAAAAATTTAAAGGCCACAGGTAAAATTTAAAACCATAATTAGCTTAAGATCTCACTGATTATACTCTGATAAAAAAGCATTCTTCCAGAAGGAAAAAAAAAGTGGAAACCCCAAAGGTGTACGTAATAAGAGCTTTGCAACTTTGCTTAGGTGCCATATTATTTAAATTATCAGTAAATTCTAAAGATGTGCCACCTTTCTTACAGAAGATAAAATTTTAGTAAACTTTATTCATTTAATACATTTTATTAATTATTCCTTAATTATCTTTAAAAATAAAACTCTACAAGTTATTTGTGCTTGCTATTTGATCTGGACGTATTTTTGAACCACATTTAGCAAGTTTTCAAGATCATCTTTTATATCATCTTTTATATTCTTGGGCTTTATCTTATTTTCTACTTTTATTTTTTGTTATTTCATTCTTATTTCCTCACCCATTTATTGTTTTTTAAGTTTTTTTATGGAAAATCATTTTAATCAGTTATTTGTATCTCTGAAAGCTGCCTTGTATTAGTTTCTGGAATGATATAAGGGACAAATTGATCAGTTAGCTTTTTTCTTTTTTAACCAAGCCTAATAATTAATTGAACAAGATACTATATTCCTCAGTTTTAGAATAAAAATGTGTACCAAGATTCATATCACATGAGCATTTATAGCAAAACAGTTTAAAAAGAGGTCTTACTCTGAATTTCATTAACTGTGGCACTAGATCATGAAATTAGCGGAACGAAACCCAGTTCATCAGGACAGACAGAACCGCTCACTTTTTAAATTGAAACAGTAATATTACATCACACACTACTTTGTTTTACTACCACATCTGTCATTTGTCAATAGGCTCGTGGTGATTTACACATTTTACTGAATACAGCATTGTTTATGAAAATAAGAGAAAACTCCTTATAACGAGAAACTTTAGGTACCCATTGCTAACAGACTTTTAAAATATAAATCTTTACGTAATCTATTTTTGCAAGTTTTTCTTTTTTTAAGGAAGATTAGCCCTGAGCTAACATCTGGGGCCAATCCTCCTTTTGCTGAGGAAGACTGGCCCTGAGCTAACATCGGTGCCCATCTTCCTCTACTTTATATGTAGGATGCCCACCCCAGCATGGCTTGACAAGCGGTGCATAGGTCCACACCTGGGATCTGAATCTGCAAACCCCGGGCCACCGAAGCGGAGCCTGTGAACGTAACTGCTGCACCATGGGGCTGGTCCCTCTTTATGTAATATATTTTTATGTAAGAATATAAATATGGATACACAAATGGTTTCCAACAACTAAAGACTTACGCACATTTCTGCTGTATGAATTACACAAATAACAATTTTTATTCAGTAGCTATAAGAACTTTTAATATTGCAACCTGAGAATACGTATTTACAAATTTGAGGGAGTGTTCTTTTGTTAGATGATTGAAAAGATTGCCTTTTAGGGCGTGATGTCCTTTGTTTCTCATAATGATTTATGTAACATTAGTGAATTGCTTCGAGAATGAAGGTTTGTTTGCGCTCTGACATTTCTAGAACTTATTGTTCTAAAAGCACCCTGTCAGATGAAAAAGAGAGGGTAGAATTAAGCTCAGTTTAGCACATAACATGATTTATTTCAACCTGATTAGCGATGAACAACTATCAGACTTTATGCATTAGTAAAATGACACAATACAATGAATGCAAGAACATTCGGTGTGGTAAAAGCTAAATATTTGAAGGGAGGGTAAAAAAAGCCTTCAGAACGTCAAGCCATCCCTTCCTACAACACATTTCCTATTTTATAATTTTCTGCCGTAAACATGAGGCTGATAATAGGCAGATGTTGGCCAGTCAGCCTGTCTTTGTCACCTATTCACCTGTCACTAGTCACTGCTTTGAGGTTCTCATTACTTTGTGGCTTTTTCAATGGGCCTTGACTGGGATCCCTCTCTTCCCATCTCTCTTCCCTCCATATTTTCTGAGATGTGTCTTATTTCTGCAGATCCCTATTCTCAACGAGACGGCTAATTCATCTCAAAAGCTATGGCATACTCAACGGGATTCTACATTCTAAGAGATGCCCTAAAAACATAGTGTATTTCCCTGTGTTAGGAAAACATCGAAAACATCACTGGGGAGTGGGATTGGCGTTGGTTGTTATTGTTCTTTGGGAAAGTTTGTTGTTCTTGGCTTTGGGGGTCACTATCATATTAATTGCGCTCATGCACAAGATACATCCTTATTTCTGTAATGTTTAAAGGAAGCCTAACTTAGAATCACAATAGCCTATAAATCTTAGTGCTCATTATTTATAGAAATTCAAATCTCCACACATTCTCTACTGGCCATACGAAAAGGTCTAAATCCTTTTTATGGCAAGATGGAGCCCTGTTACTTCCTCAGCTTTGTTTTGTGCTACAGCCAAGCCTTCCCCACTGCAGTAGCCCTGCACTGCCATGTTGCTTTTGGCCTCACAAATTTGCTCTACTTGCTTAGAAGACTCCCATACCTTTACCTCCCAATGCCTCCTATTCAGGGCTGGCTTAAGAATTACCTCCTTGGAGAAACCATTTCTGTCCCTGCCTTTGTTTCCCATTATATCCTGTGCCTATACATACTTCTGTCATAAAGCTCAGCAATGATTGTCCCTATTCGTTTACTTATTAATTTTCCTGTACTGGGTGTTAAGTACCCTAAAGATTGGAATGGTTACTCATTCACTCTGAATCCCTATGATGGATCTTTATGTTTGGCACATGGCGAATTTATTGGTGAATACTCAATAAATGTTTGTTGATTGGAGACGAATGAAAAACTATTGTATGTTTGGAATTAATGCAGTAGTCCTCGACCCAGCCTTTCCAATAACCTTTCCAATACCTTGCTGCATGGTGCTTAAATAGTGCCTTGACACATAAAACCCTACTCAAAAGCTTTCAATAGCTCCCCTTTGCCAAGTGAGTAAGCATCAAATTTGTGACATATGCTGTACAAAACTTTTTTTAATTATTTGTGTCCTCAAATAACTTAAAATCCAGTTGAGAAAATAACTCAAGTGAGTAAAATAGAAATAATGTCAATAATAACAGTAAAGTTTTATACAATACTTATTTTGAACCAAATACGTTTATAAACACTTGACATATATTAACTCATGTAAGCCTCACAATCCAATTAGATAGGAAGTCTCATTATCTTGTTAGAGGTGAAGAAACCAAACCACTGAGAAATTGCCTGACTTTCCCAAGGTTGTAGAGGGAGGAAGTGGCAGAGCTGAGTTGAAGCCAGGCAGTCTGGCTCCAAAACCTATGTTCTTCACTACTGCACATATTGCCTCTAAGAACATGAAACATAAAGGCCTCCATGCCCCTACAAAGCTGCAGGACTGACTGCCAAATGGCTGAATGGACAGCTGCTGTAACTCTAGGGGAGGGCCAATGGCTCCATGCCAGGTAGATTTGCAAAAACTTGACAGGAGAGGTGAAAATTGATTCAAATTGACTTTTCAGGATTGGATTTGGCAAATCAGAGCAGAAGAAGGCCTCACAATGGAGAAAACAAAGATGAGTAAATACAGGTATGTTGTTTGAGATATAATATTAGAGAGTATGTAGGGCAAGATGTAGGGGGGAATGAAATTCTAAAGTCAGTAGTTCAAAATCTTTCTAATTGACCCTAGAAGTCATTAGGAGAAATGGTCCAGGAGAAACGAATATAGCATTGCTTCAGAATAATAATCTGTCAGTGGCTTATATAGCAAAATCAAGGGGAAGATACTGGAAGCAGAAAGCTCATTAAAACACTATTTACAGGTTTGGACAGAAGTGACAGGATCCCTGTTTTACTTATCACTTCTTTCCTGTAAAAACATTGTTTAACTTCAAGTTGGGAAATCTGGGTTTAAATTTTACCTCTGCCATTCATTAGCTATGTTCAAGTCACTAGAGGCTTAAAGTGTCATATTTCCTATCTGGTAAACTGAGATTGTTAAAGGATCATTTTTTTAAAAAGATAAAATCTCCTACAAATTTGCAGGGTGCAGGTGCCAAAGATTATATTAATTTATTAACTAATGAGATAACCAGCCAAATGTTACAACTAACTCAAAGAAAAATCCTAAAGAACCATAGACATAGGCAGTAAGAAATGCTGAAACGAACTTACAAATAGACTAAAAACTGGCTTTCTCCATGGTGGAAAAAGTGTCTGTCCTCACCAGACAAAATGTATTTGTACATCTATGGATAAGAATCATTTGCACCCTTAGTTATCTATGCTTTACAGAGTTGTACACAGCTCAAAGACAATGAAAGGTATAGAGACCTCCACATAATCAGATAGCAGGAAGAGCACGTTGCTAAAGAACATCTGGTTTCTGAAGACATTCAGAAATTTTGTTTCCATTTCAAAGTCTTTCATTGGGTAAAAGGGTCCATTTCAGACACTGATGTGAGTGTTAGGTGAGAATATTAGTGATATTGGACCAGAAGAGGAATTCAAAATTCCTAACACGTGGAAGTAGGCGGTACTTTCTCTCTCCTCACCCCTTGAAGAGTACCTACTCGTTTTCTCAACATACATGTGAGCTAGAAGATTCAGAAAAGGAACAGAGCTGTCTTTCATGAGGATTAGGCATATGTAAGTCTGTCCAGCCCCTTCTGGGCAGTAGGGGAAGATAATAGCTAAACAAGGGGCAGACTAGGGGTCTCTCGGGGAAAATCTGGCACAAGAAAAGAAATGTGGGCATGATCGAATAAGCCAGACTTGGCAATAGGATCTTTTGTTTTGAGTCAGAGCACTTTGCTACAAGAAAAATAAACTAACTTAAGCTATCTTAATTTAAAAAAGCAAACAAACATTTTCTCACTTTCTATCTTTCTAACATTTGATGGAAAGATATCAGGCTTGGCAGAATCTGCAAGAAGACTAGAGGAAGATGCAAACTGAAAAAAGAAAAGGAGGACACGGAAGATCTGAGCTAAAGGATCAAAAAGCAGGCAAGTCCAATTACAAGACTCCAGTGCTTCTGCAAGATGTGACCACTGCTATAAACCACTGCCATCCGTGCTGGACCATGGCTCCTAACCAGCCCTACTTTCCTGGTCACTAGCTCCAGAATCAACGTCTCAGGCTGCAACATCTAATTGGCTGAGCTTGGGTCACGTGCTATGTCCCGGCTCCTGGGGAATTCTCAGGAAGATGGAGCATCGTTCCCTTTCACTTTTGTAGTGAGAGGCAAAACACTGCAGCACACCAATCTGATACTCAGTGGTAAATTCCGCCCAAATACAAAGGGAGCAATAGGTGCTCCACTGTCAAATGATAGAGCAAACGTCTAGAGCTGTCTGCGTGTTGAGACACACGGGAGCTTCTCTGTTCGGTATGGAGAATAGATGGGCTAAGACTCCACATCTGATTTATCTATTCTGTCAGCGTGAAAGTACCTTGAGGAAGAAGAAGGCTGTGGGAATCTAGGGGGAAAAAAGCCCTACTGCCAGAACCAAGCAGTTCTGTTGTGGTATCCCTTCTAAAAAGGCAGAACAGGGCAGAGAAAGGAACATTTCACAACTAGTAAAAGGAATGAACACGCTGGAGCCTTGGAACCGCAGGAGGCTGGGCAGGGCCAGCGAGTGGGTACAAGGGTAGGTGATGACAGCGGGGAATAGGCTTGGGGGTCAGGGAGTTCCCTGGAAGCCTCAAGCTGGCAAAAGAGGATGTAAACGTTCCTATGATCATAGCTGGTGAGGCTCAGGGAAACACTTGATTATAGGAGTTACTGGCATTTTCCCCTAAAATATACCATGTCTTATTAATCACTTTTACTATCACTTTCAGTTTTGATGACCTTCCTCATAAAGCTTTTAATCTACCCTGAAAGGGGGCCTCCTATTCCTTTTTATCTAACTTTTTAAAATAATTGGACAATCTCACCTCTTAACAAAGCATTCCCTGACCTAAACCAACCCATATTGTTTTCTCCATTATCTAAATTCTTAACGCTTTTACCACACAATTTAGTACTTAAAATCAACTACTGTCTATAACCTTCTCTAGCTGTTTCTGACCCATAAGACTTGTCCCTCCAACAATGTGGGGCCCTCTGAAGAAACTGTATCAACAGACTTTGAAATTCCCTAACTCTATAATAGATGCTTAATAAACACATCTTTCATCAAGGGTTTGATCATGATGGAGTGGAAAGAAAACAGAAATGAGATGGTCTGGATTAAGCCCGTCCCACAATGGTTATGGGATAAACTGTTCCTTCAACTTTTGGTCATTATTTCCTTATCAATAAAGAAGGGACAATAGAGATGATGAAGATAAAAATACCATCACCAATCCCTAGCTCAAAATGTTATCAAGAGCTAATAAAAATACAGCAAAACACTTTCAAACGTTAAACCACTGCATTATAAAAATACTAGTTTTGAATGCACACTATTACCTACTATTAGCATCAAACAAAAGCAATTTCCCCAGCAGAATTTCAAATGCTATAGCAGGTTATAGACAGAATATATTTCTGGAAATTGAGGCCATTCTATCTTGCTTCAAAATATGTCATATAGATAGTTGTAATTTTGCTTTTAAACTTACTCTACTGTCTTTTCCTGTCCTGATACGGTCCATGTAAGCCCATTACATCTTAGCCAAATTGCTGCATAGTCTCTTCACACCACCTCCCTTCACAATGACAGCACCCTATATTTATACAGAACTTTACAGTTTACAGAACACTTTCACACCTACTGTCTCATTTGATCTTTGCACACACACAAACAACAACTACAAGAGAAAAGTGTTAATACTTAATAAGCTCCCCAAAATGTTTGAAGCTTTAAAGTTAAAGCAAAATTTCTTCAGTGAAACAGCTCTTTCTTTGAGGAGTCCCTTTTGCTCTAGCATAATTATCCCCAATTTAATACTCAGTACTTAAGACAACAATCTGAAAGCTTTTAGGGCTAATTTTACAACTTTTTAATATCTTGATCCAAAATTTAAATTGGATAAGTTCTATAGCTACCTGTACCTTCTATGGCACCTGATATTTATATAATACTTCACAGTTTACAGAACATTTTCATATCTACCATCTCATTTGAATTTGCACACACGTAAAGGTCAAGACACAAGGTCAAAATTATGGCTTATTTATTCATCTTTGTATCTCTTGGGACTAAAACAGTGCCTGGTGCCTATGAGATATTGAACAAATGTTTGTTTAATTAAATGTGAAGGAAGAGGAGGAAGAACAAGATGAAGGAAAGGGACAAAATGATATGCCTCAAAAGCAAGGAGAGATCAGTGTCCATGGAGATACAGAAGATTATTTTTATTCCTCCCTGTGCAAAGACTTCACTAAATTACATTAATATTCAATTCTCACACATACACTTTGTGTTGAGCACTAAATTACAGGTTTTGCAAAGAGAGGACTTATTAAATATTGGAATTAGAAGATGTTCTCTTTACTATTTTTAAAATTGGCATATGTTTAAGAACCTAAAACTTTCAGTCAAATTGGGAATGAAAATAACCCTTGCATGAGATCGGCCTAGGCTTCCCAAGTAAAACTCTTTCTCTCATTATTGCTGCTTTAAAATGAAAAAGTTTCAGTGCCTCTACAAATGACTCTTTCTAAAAGGTGATGTGGAAATCTTAAATCTTTTATGACAATCAGTAGCAATCCTGCACTTAAAACAGTAAAAAAAGGTGAAGAATAATGCTTCTAATAATATTTGATTGGCTTAAATTTGCAGCAAGTTTGCAGATCATTTCTAAATATACCTGCTACAAGTATTTCACACTGAAAATAACATAAGTAGTCATCTCTTTTATTGGAATCAGACTGAGCGAAAATAAATATGATGGATCAAATTCAACCACAAACCCAAGCCAACTCCGTAGAAAGCTGAAAAGGAAAAATAAAATCAATTACACAAAATGAATGAATCATTTATTTAACCAGAGACATTTTACGTCAATAATAAAAGAAATGTGGTCTTCTTAAATCATGATGGAGGAGAGCTGAGAGAATAAATCTCTTCACTCCCCAAATCCCTTTGAAAAAGACAAACGGGGAAATAAAGGAAAACACAAAAGAGCACTGGAAATTTGGGACAATTATGAATTCCATGGAAGATATAAAGCAGATGACAATAGACTGATGTCAAAATCTAACTGAGTTATGATTATCTCAACCAGAGAAGACCCTAAGATAAAGGCATTCTTTGAAGAAGAATTGGATCATAGGCAGTCAAGAGAAAAATTACAGTGCGTAAGAACATAGAGACAGTAGCTGACTTTTGCTTCCTGAAAAAAAAAAAACAAAAACAGACATGTTTAAATTTTGTAATTTAAAAATACTTTTCAATAGACAGTTTATTACTATTCTTTTACAAAGATAAAAATTTCTTTGAAAGTTTTAAGATATGATCATGGCAATTCCTCAAAATGATCTAGTCCACAGGGTTGATGAAATTAATTCTATAAAATTAAGGACAAAGTATTGACCAACAATAAACATCAAAAGTATTACTTTATATATATTTTTTTCCTTAAAAATGAAACTCATACAACATTCTTGAAGCAAAGCCATACAAACTTGTAGAAGTCACCCTATCTTCATGAGGCTCACGTTTGAGAGATTTTAAGTGGAGGCTTGAAAGAGGAGGTGGCCACCGAGTGTTTCTTTGTGTGCTCTGTCCTAAACTCATCCACTACGTATTGTGAAAGCCAAACTATTGCCACACTGTCATTCCCACTTGTTGCTTTAAGAAATCAGCTAGTCTCCAACAGCATCCTATTTTCTTCCACATTAAAGCCATTAGGCTTCTTGTCCATGCAGCTAATATTTCTTTGGCTATAAATAATTTTATCCCCCACAAAGCTATTCCAGGAAAAAGACATCCCTTCAGAGCAGCCAGGATTAGACATTTTATTCCTTTTATCTCATCAAAGGTCAAATTAATTTCACCTGGGATGTGTACACTTTTTAAAATATTTCTGCTGGTGTGAAAAAAAATCCTTGATCTACTGGAGACAAGTGGCCTTAGCTAGCCAAGAGTAGGACTGCATCTAGCGAGGCATCCATGCAACTTCTTCTCTTGGCAAGATGAGAGAGAGAGAATATGAATGAGAGAGCATTCCTAACTGCTATAAAGAAACCATGGAACTTCTAACTAAGCTGTAGTGGCAGAACCTAAAAGAAATTAGGATGGAATGATGACGTACAAATAGCACTTTCAGACCACTCATCAGAAGGTCTCCACGAGTGCATATGACGAGGAACTTAGGGTGTCCTCCGAGAACTACAGGGAGCTAGATTTGTTACCAACACGAACAGTTGCTGACACAATAAAGAGGACAGGGAATAAAATTTTTCTCCTAGAACTTCTGTAGGTGAAAAATGAAAGACAAGATTTACTAGTTTCTTGAATCGATGGAAAACCTGTGAACACAAGTTTTAAAATGTTCACTTCACTACAGGACTTCACAGAAATATTGATTCTGATGCCCCAACTTAAGTTTTCCACTCAAGGCAAGCACAGGTGTTTTCTCTCCCTTAATTAGGCCATCTCTGCTGGCTTTAGATCAGTTTTTCCAAAAATCAGTTAATTAAATAATCACAACATTTACCAAAAGTATCAACTCTTGTAAGGAATATGTTGATGAATTTTAAAATTAGAGTTAATGACTATACATTCTTTTTATGAATCTGTCATGAATATATCAACCTTAATTTTATATATATTTATATCAATTAAAATATAAAATTTCAGCACTTCATATATGACGGAATTACTTTGGCTTTTTTTTAGTTCTTTCACATTCTTTACAATTTCATTTTTTATACTTTCAGGCTTTAAGTAAGTGCACCATTATTTTACCAAGTGGCATATCAACCATAATTTTGTAATTACTACCAAAATCATTAAAACCTTATATTAATGTATTTGCTTTGGAACATTTATAGGTAAACTTATGTTTATGGTCATTGTGAAACAGATTTTGGGTAGTAATCTTACTCTAAATTTTGGTTGCTAAATATGAATTACAAATTTATGAATATTAAATATGTTCATAAGATAGCTAAGTCATCCTATGACCTTTTAAAAAATTACCTTTCAATCAAATAATTCTTTAAAATATTGCTAGAAAAACAAAAAAATAAGCTAAAATTTATAGAACTATTAAAAACTATTAATGTAGTCCTACAATATGAATTGCTATAAAATTTATAAATTTATAAACAATTAAATAACAAGCTAAATTGTTGTTGCTTGAGAATTAAAAAGATCTTTTAAAAGACATAAAATAAAAAATGACTTTAAAAAGAATTTAAAAGAGATTACTATAAGCTAAACAATTCCCATATGAAACATTTGTTAGATTCATCAAAAATAAATAAAACAATATATTTATAAATGCATTCATAAAAAATTAATCAACTCAGCAATTGAATAGTCACTGAATATGTTCAGAAAGAAATGGTAATTTTGATAAATTCTGCAAATCAGTCATCCAGTGGATAGATTTTGGGGGAAGTGATGAGCTTTTAAACTTTCTTTCTGGTTTACCAAAGAATGACCTACCATTGCATTTTAACGATTGAAATTTTTTCATCAAACACCTTTGATTTGGCTGACATCTGAAAATTCTGCACTTGCAAGATGAGCATGAAAAGGTATGTACTATGTCTAGAGACGTGGTTAGCAATTTACTTAGTTGCTTATAGGTGATGTATAAGCATCATGGCTGAGTCAAAAAGAAAAGCTACTCATAGTCTGTCTAACAAACGTGTGGAATGCAGACCAATTTTCTTCAAGAATGAGCTTTTCATTAAAACACAAACAAACAAATTGTGAAAACCTAGAACTCTTTAACATATAGCATTAATAATGACTTAATTGTAAATTATACTTCTATACTGGAAGGATCATGTTGTCAAGCAAATAATGGCTTCCTAAGTTTAAAATTCCTAATTTATAGAATGATTTTGTTAAAGTAGTGTATAATTATAGATGGATTTTTCTTAGATTTTGGAGAATCATCAGGTGCACTTGAACAGGAGTTAGCAAACTAAAACCTTTGGGTTAAATTCAGCCCACCACTTGTTTTTGTAAAGCTTTACTCTAACACAGCTACACTCACTCATTTACATATTACCCTTGGCTCCTTTGATGCTACAACTTCCGGTTGCATAGCTGTGATGGAGATCTTACAGTTCAGAAAACCTGAAACATCTAAAGCCATTCTGATGAGTGTGAGGTGCTATCTCACTGTAGTTTTGATTTGCATTTCCCTAATAATCAACCACGTTGAACATCTTTTCATGTGCCTGTTGGCCATCTGTATATCTTCTTTGGAAAAACGTCTGTTCACAACCTCTGCCCATTTTTTGATCGGGTTGTTCATTTTTGGTTGTTGAGTTGTATGAGTTCTTTATGTATTTTGGAAATTACTCCCTTGTCGGATGTATGATTTGCAAATATTTTCTCCCAGTTGATGGGTTGTCTTTTTGTTTTGGTGATGGTTTCCTTTGCTATGCAGAAGCTTTTTAGTCTGACGTAGTCCCATTTGTTTATTTTTTCTTTGTTTGCCTTGCCTGATTAGACAGGGTATTCGAAAAGATACTGCTAAGACCGATATCAAAGAGTGCACTGCATATATTTTCTTCTAACACTCGTCAGAATGAGTATAATTAACAAGGCAAGAAATAACAAGTGTTGGACAGAATATGGAGAAAAGGGAACCCTCATACACTGCTGGTGCGAATGCAAACTGGTGCAGCAATTATGGAAAACAGTATGGAGATTTCTCAAAAAATTAAAAATGGAACTACCATATGATCCCACTATCCCACTACTGGGTATTTATCCAAAGAACATGAAATCAACAATTCAGAGAGATTTATGCATCCCTATGTTGACTGCAGCATTATTCCCAATAGCCAAGTCTTGGAAGCAGCCCAAGTGCCCAACAACAGACAAATGGATAAAAAAGATGTGGTGTATATATACAATGAAATACTACTCAGCCTTAAAAAAAGACAAAATCAGGAGCCAGCCCCGTGGCCTAGTGGTTAAGTTCGTGCACTCCACTTCAGCAGCCCAGGGTATCGCTGGTTCAGATCCTGGGCATGGACCTAGCATGCTGAGGTGGTGTCCCACACAGCACAACTAGGAGGACCTACAACTACAATATATAATTATGTACTGGGGGACTTTGGGGAGAAGAAGGAAAAAAAAAAAGACAAAACCATGGCATTTGCAACAACATGGATGGACCTTGAGTGTATTATGCTAAGTGAAATGTCAGACAGAGAAAGACAAATACCATATGATACGATTTCACTCACATGTGGAAGACACATAGATAATGAGAACAGATTGGTGGTTACCAGAGGAGAAGGGGGAGAGGGATCAGTGAAAGGGGTAAAGGGGCACATATGTATGGTGACAGATAAAATCCAGACTATTGGTGGTGAACATGATGCAGTCTATACAGAAACTAAAATATAATAATGAACACCTGAAATTTACACAATGTTATAAGCCAACATGATCTCCATAAAGAAAAAAAAACAAAGGAAAACCTAAAATATTTACTATTTGGCCCTTTACAGAAAGATTACTGACCCCTGCTCTAGAGTATATTTGTATAGATTGCAGAATATATTTGGATGAATGTTATGGTAAACATTACACTTTAAAATATCGGCTAAAGCCCACTAAAAAACTAAATACACAAACGTAGAAACAAAAATTGTACAGCAGTACTCAGTCATCAAGTGGCAATACAGATAATAGAAAACATGCTTATGATTTTATTAGATCATTCATAAAAATAAAAACACTTATTCAGAAAACTGTTAAGAGCTCATGGACCCCAAGAATAGATCTGATGACCCTAGAATATTCATAGCAGTTGTAAAACACAATGATAAACACATAAATATATAAAAGATATAATTTTATAGCTATTCCCAATTTATGGAATCATCAGTTTATTCAGCCAAAGGGTGGATGGGGGCTCATAAAAATTTATTCTCAAGGATTATTTTGATTGTTTTACAGGTAGAATTTTAAAAATATGATTTAATAAAAAGAAAATACTCAGATCTACAGTTCAGCTTATACAGTTCAGCTTATCTCAAGCATTTGTTAACAACTGGGTTCCAAGTTTGGCTATATTCCCCAGGTACCATGGAAAGCTGTGTGTTCCAAACGTGTTTGGAACTCCACGTGAGTTCGGTAAAGGCAATTCTGAAAGAGAATCACTTCAGGATAAAGGATCTCTACTTTCAAAGGCCATGTTGACTTGATCATAAGGAATTGATTCTTATGAGGGTAGGGGAGCAGAATTTGCCACCTCAAGATGTGTC